AGTCGTTAGAAGTAAATCGAGTGCACAGCAGTCATAGAAAAACTTTCCTAAAATAACCAAAAGGCGTATATTTGCTCTCTGTGTTTTAATGCAACAAATTGGGAAATTCTGGTATAAGCTCGGAACATCTTTTGCAGGCTCCTTGTCAAGTATCTTTCCGTGACGTATATTCATTCAACTGTACTCTTTTTTACCACAGTCTCGTCCTCTTCCCAACCCCCCCCCCTTCATCAGTCCCCATTCAGACAAGCGCAGATACATCTGTTTCCAATTAATTAGGCACCAACGTCATAACCTGTGTTTTTCACATCGTGGTCCTCAATGAGTTTTGGTTGCGGGACCATTTTCTGCATATAATATCTGTCGTGTGCAATAACTTCTGGGATGATTCGCAACCTCTGCAGTGTTTGAACATTCTTTACCACAATAGATTTTGCTAGTTCTAGCTTGATGCATTCTCAACCGACATGCTTTTCTGCTGTAATTTTCATTCTAAACGGAAATTTTCATTCCATACTTCGAATAATGAAGATTTGTCTTGAGCGAAATGTATGACAATTATTTCTAGAGCCATGCTCCCTGCATCATACCGCCTAACCTCTCGAGACCCATTAAATTCTTGAAATTTACTAACAACTGTTCCATCACAATGATGAGCTTTTGGCAAACATCAAAGCGTGATTGCATAAATGCCACTTATTCGTCCATCATTCGTATTTTTGCGGTCCCATAGTGGACCATTATACTTGGTTCTTCCCAATTTCAGTGTTTTGTAAAGTTACACTTAAGTAGATCATGCTCGTCATTTCTCCTAGAGTGCAAGCTCGGTACTGTATCAAGTTTCTTGAATAGTCTCCTGACTTGGCTCAAAGGCAGTGGCAAAACTTCGTATTGCAATTTTTCACCTTCTCGGGACCTTTTCGCATGAGAAACCCGCATCTGGACTTTTCAGCGCATGAAAATGAAAAAAGAGGTTTCTAAAAGGTTTTCCATTTCCGCACTCAGTGGAAAATACGTGTAGTGGGCGAAGTCCAAACGATTGAGGCGGTGTGCGGAAGACTTCCGGTGTATTTTCAACGGACTGGAAAGCTTCGAAAAGGCCCATTTTCCCCATTTTCATGCGCTAAAAAGATAGATATGGGTTTCCAGGGCGAGAAGGCTCCGAATAAGTGAAAAGCTAAACAGCAAATTTAGTCGAAACGATGCCTTCAAGTTTAGAGGCTTTTCTCAATTAGACAATCGCAGCTGTACATATTGTTTACTTGTCGCTCTTGATGACCAGGAAGAACATTGTTTGTGCTTTTAATTTGGAAGCATACTGTGAAGAGGAAATGTTTAACCTAATTTGATTATTCCACAACAACTGCTCCAACAGTCTAGATCATGTTATCGTGTCTATGTTGAAACAGAGGAAGAACCAGCATTGTTTTTTAGTAGCAACTCAATGATTTATCAAACTGAGAGAAAGGGCGAGTTGAAGAGAATTTTGTATATCACAGCAGTAAGAAAGATTGTACATATTCTCGACGAAATGTGTACAAGAAGCGAGGTTTCCCAAAATTTGGAGCAGTCTAACTAACAAAACTTATTTGTGTACTATCTAAATGACTGAATTATGGCACACATTTTCTCTTGCAGTACGCTGTCAATTTTTTTTGGTGAAAAGTGATTTACCCCAATTGCATTTTTTTGTCATTTAGCAATTTGCAACCTATTTAATGGTTTGTGCAATCTTTCTGTTTATTTGCACACTTGGAAATGTGCAACTCAGCAAAGCTGCAATTATCAATCAGAGCTGATTGTGCTGCGAAGATGCAGAAGTCATATTTTATTCTCTTCCTCTTTCTAGCTTGCCTAGACTATTCTACTTCAGCTAACTGAGAAAACGAAACACAATCTGTGACTCGATGAGCTTGCATCTAACTGCCACTTGTCTAGAAAGTCATTCCCCTGATTATTTGACACTTTGTCGTTTACTCACACTTTTGAATGCACGTGTACACTAAAAGTTCAATTAACTCTAGAGAGTTGCTCTAAATATGCAAATGGCGTAGGAGAATGGGGATTTCCCTTCACAGGATAAAAAACTACAGCTAAGACGTTATGGGAATCTCTTATGCTGGTACAAGCTCAGTTGTACTTTTCTAACTTCTCATAAGGTACTGTAAAGTATTTGGGCCGGATGCGTGTATTAAGCAGTTCAGTTGAACATTTTTACTTTTCTACTTCTAAATAAGTGTTCCGAAATGTATAATGCCGTATTGTGATTAGCTTGATGGATAACATGTGCACAAAATTTGATTGACATGGTTATTTACCAAATTAGATTGTGAATATTGTGCATTATATTCACACAGCCTCAATTATAATACGTATGGCTGTTGGCGGTCTCAGAATTTCTCATGGGAAGGGAGGGTGGGGGAGAGGGCGGAGAGGGACGAGAAGGAGTTTTTTTTTTGGAATGAAGCGGCGATTATTTAGAAATAAGTCTTTGCACAACTTTCAACTCATAAAGAATCAAAAAAAAATCCTGTGCATTTCTGCACGCATACGCATATACACGTTGATAAAAAAGGCAAGGCTGAGTTGCTCCAACTTGAGTAACTGTTTACTGCTTTTTGGGAATATAACGTGAACTTTTATGAGTCTGAATGAAATTGTTTTCCGATGAGTATTGAATACGGCAAAAATTTCGGATAAAAGAAGATAAGTTGAATATTTCTCGAAGACTAGCTTCTTGTGGAAGGCTAAATATTCACGGCTGTACTTCTCGAGTTTTGTAGTATACAATTACTAGTGTGGGAGCTGGCAAAGGCTTGAATATTATTCTGCTTGGAACTTCAAACCAAGGTAGAAACACGGCAACTTTACATTTCAATGTTTTTGAGGGATGTTGATGCGTGAGCGATTTTGGAAAGAGTTTGGACTTTTTTCGAATGTTCGGGCCTTCAACTTTTTTGGTTTTTGGTTTCAAATTTCACGTGGATTGAAGTTGCAGAAAAAACAAACACCCTCTTGCAAACGTTTTGCATATTGGGAAATACTACAGAACTTGTTTAGAATAAGGACGATTATGACTTATTGTGCTATTTCAATGCAAGACTTACTGAGCAGGATGTTTGGCGCGCTGGTATGGATATGTTTATCGTCATAGGAATACTGAAATAGTGGGTTATCTCCAAGTGCGCTGCTAATGAATGAAGGTAGATCTACGTTAATATGCGCTAATAGGGTTCATTATGTGACTAATGACGACCATCATGGATGGAGATTAGTCAGATCGGCTCTGGTGCTCTGAGTTCAAGCTGTGGCCAACATCACCTCTCTGTTCAGTAGCTGAGCTTTACTTCCAAACACTGAATTTTCTTGCACCTGTGCTTTTGCATGGACACGTGTAAAAGTTTTTCCATATATTGTACGAGAAACAATCGTATTTGTCTTATTCACAGATATATCCTCAAATTTGTAGTGGAAGCGAAAGAAAAAGCACAGAGATTGATACTACCGAATCTTAGCACTTAGACATCCGACAATTTTATTTTTTGTATTAAAGTAGGGTCACTACCGGATGATGCTCGGTTTTTATCACAGTATGTTCAGCGCAATTCTTATCACATTTCCCCAAACAACAAGGAAAAATCTGAAAGCTGAAGAATTTCTTAAGGCCTGAGATGATGGATTTTGCAAAGTTTCTAACTGCATCCCTATGCCTTCAAGTTATAATTGCTTGTCTTTTGAAAAATGACTTTCTTTATGTTGTTAAAGTTTCAAATGTCGGTAGCTTTGCGATCAGAAAGAAGACTTTTCGCTGCAAACTTTCTGACACGAGGTGGAAAGCAATCTCCTGGAATTTCCGAGCAATTCCCGCGAACAGTCCAAAATTGCATGTAGAAAATACTACTGCATGTACTTTGCCTATGAAGAGCAAAAATTTAAAACAGTCATTCTGTTCCAGAGTTACACTGAGGAAGAAAATTGCCTAATTAATTACGAACTTTTTCACGTCGCGCTGCATGCGGTTCTTTTTTTTTTGCAATTGCTTAGTAGTCACGTATATATTTTCCATAGTCTTTTGTTGTATGATTGTGGTAGTATTTACTTAATTTTGCACGAAGTATGGGCATCTTGAATATTTTTGTCCATTGATTGTGGTAGTATTTACTTAATTTTGCACGAAGTATGGGCATCTTGAATATTTTTGTCCATAGTGATTACGTCTTATAGATGCATGAGAGTATAGTTTTTCGTAGTGCGTTTCATGAGATCGTCGACGGACGATAGAGATCCATGAATTCAAGTCTAAACGAGGCAGTAGTTTCGTCCTCAAGTTCTTAGGAGCAGAGGGAAATTGTACCAACAAAATGAGTTCTAACAACATATAATTATTGTACATATTCGTAGCCAAAACTCCCAACTGGTATCTGCCTGACGCAATCATACCTAAGGCTGCTCAAATCAGAATAAGGTCCGTTTATCTAAATTGAATTGCCAGCACCCCCTACTTGTAAAAAAAGAGTGCATTCGGTACAAGACTTGCTTCAAAAGCAAGAGACAGAATTTTGAGAAGAGCGAAGGCAAGCTGTTTGCAGTGATCACAATGAATCCAAGGAAAACACCCCCGTTCTCGCTGATGTCCTTTTTGTGAACAATACGCACCATTTAGCGCAGTCTACGCACTACTCATGCTTATGTTTTTTGCTCGCTACCCTGTTTGAGCTCGCTATGAAGACCAGAAATTCGATGTTATTCACGAACTTTAATCTCAGATGTTCTGTGATAAGTTGCAAATTGAATCTACCTTTTTGAACTCTTTTTCTACGCTCTACTAATGCAGTATTTGTTTGTTTAATGTCAGTCTCAATTTACATCGTTCGTTCAATTTCCGATCCGGAATGTATGTACAAAGTTTTTCCACCACAAATCTCTGCACATATTCGTTTCTCATTTCTCCTCTCTTTGAGTTTATGAAAGCTAGTTAATAAGCATTACAGTACACTCAAATGGCGTTGACCCAAGAGTGCAATACCGAACCAAGCTCTGCAAAAAACGCTCTGAATTTCACTCCGCACGAAATTCGGTACCTCAAATTTTCATGGGAGAAGTAAGTACATATTATCATGTAAAAGAGACCAGTAAGCACTGAACTTTTACAGAGCAAGTACGGCAGTGGACATTGGTTGCGAACTGGTGGCAAGGCTGCTGAACGACAATCGCACCAGATTTCGCGCTCTAATCGAAAGCCATTCGGGAGATCTGCTTGGTTCAGCCGATTTCTCAGCTGAGGACGTGAAGAAGTATCGGCGAGCGCGCATAGTCGCGAACGGTGTCGTCATGTTCTTCAATCAGGTAAATAATTTGTCAACTTTTGAAGAAAATAGGCAAAAAAGCGAGGCACTTGAGAGGCTTTGTGACAGAGTTTCGTAGTAAAGGTTGGTGTAGTCGAAAGACCGATTCCATCCCAATCAATCCGTGCACAACGATCATAGCAAGCAGCAGAGCACGAACGCTTTACTTCGAAACCGGCTGTGAACTCTTGCCTAAATAACGTAAGTAGATAAATAAACAAATAAATATAAAAATCGGAATTACTCTCCCCACTGTACCTTCGGAAGGCAAAAGAAGTTGAAGCGGCTACTTCTAACTAATACTAAAATCCTATCAATTAGGTTGGCGCGAAAGCTCTTGAAATTCAGTACTCAATTGGTGTTCCGAAAATGGTAGAAGGTTTGAGCTCATTCTGTAAATTAGCCATCGAGAACAAGCTTTCAGATGACAATTCAGAGTTTGTGATTTCGAGTTTGCTGCCAGAAAAACGCGGAGGGCCGTCAGCCAGCTCAAAAAAAAACTTGGGAAAATCTTACATAGCAAAAATCTATGTGCCAGTTTGACATACCTCGGTCTTGTATGGAAATGGGAAAACAAAAACTTTTGGAGCTTGTCCAGTTTTTACAGGAACACTGTAACCAGAAATTAGACAAAGGGCCTATTTAGAACTCCATGACGTTTTTTAGAGTGCTAAAGTCTTTCGCTGAAAAAAACTTTAATGAGGGATTTTTCTGTAAAATGACATCTTTCATAAATTTTTTTGTTTTTGCATTACCATGTGCGGTTGAAGCCTGCCACTGTAACGTATAAGCTTTTCTGTGTAAGTATTTACCGATTTTTTTGAAACCTTCTAGCAAACTCACGATCGAAAGTGTAAGGTAATTTTTCAAAAATTCCGGATTCTGTTTAGGTGTTTTTATCTTTTTTACCGCTTGCTTGTATCAAAGCTTAAATGCTTTCTTGTTCGATTTACATTTTCGCAGTCTACAAGTAAAAAACTTCAGGAGCCAAAGCAAAAGTGTAGGTAGAAAAAGCTGGCTCTTTCGAACTGCGCAAAACTTTTAGTTCTACCCAATCTTCATTTTGGCCACGATCATTGATTTTTACGTTGAAAGAAAGCACAAGTTGTAGTAATCTGCCACACAGAAAAATTTTGCACTCAGACTTGCCCTCACAATTGCAACTGTTACTAAATTACAAAACTCAAAAAAAATTTTAGGTCATAAGCGAACTCGATGACCCAAGCTCAGCTGAACACATCGCACATCTGTCGCAGAAACTTGGCGCCTCACATTTCCGAATGAAAGTTTGGTTTCAAGCAGAGAACTGGCTTTGCGTGAAGAAATGTCTGCTCGATGCGATTATGTCAGCACTCACGGAGAAAAGTGAGTCCTCAACTTACTTTTCTATTTATTCTCTTTTTGAGAAATTAAACATGAAATTTGATGTATCAAAATTTCAGAAAGCAACTTCTTTGCATGTGGTAAGACAATAGCCATGAGCGAGAAGAAAGCACGAGACGTATGGTACAAGGTTATCCAATTTGTCATACAAAACATGAAAAAAGGATTTCTTGCGGTAGGTGGCAATAATTATCATTTTCTAACAAGTTGAAAATTTCTGTTTATTACATGAATTTGTGTGGGTATGATTTGAGGAAACGAATGAATGCCATTTCACTAATATCATGATCTTTAATCATAACTCTTTGCTTTGCATGAAACACACCACCTTGTTTCCATATAAAAATCAAAAGGAGGAGCCTTATTGAGATGGAAACAAATTGCTCAAATAATTTTCATTTAAGGTTACACTGTTTAGGAAGCGCTTTCGGTCGATAGCTCCTCCACAAGCAGTATTGGTTCAGAATGAAGTATTTGTGGACTAGCAATTTATATATGTTTACTGTCGAGTTCTGGTCATTATCCATGTCTATGTGGCTGGTGTTTTAAACGGGTCATTGAGTTTGTAGAATAATTACCAAACAATTTTATTGTAACTTTCTGTCAAACCATTTGTACATCATAGGTAGAAGATAGCTTTTGTAGCAGGGGAATATTTCTTCTGATATCCGTAAGCTCCAATTTTCTGTCACAAAAAAAACTGGTTACTCGCCATTATCTTTCGTGCAACGATCTCATATGTATCCTATGTTTTCGATAAAAGTATTCAATATTCACTTCTAGTGTTTTGCATGAGCGATACAAGATCAATTTTACGATGTTCTTGTTCACCAATCATTTCCTGTCTTGCTGGGAATCTATGGTTTTCTGTATCCAGTTATCAGCTGCTCAGATTTTTGATTCCAGTTGCAGCAGTGAGTGTTTCGAAACCTGGCCACTGCCATAGCTCTGCGTAGACATAGCTTTGTGTAGAATCGGTCTTGCTAAAATATCGCATTTCACTGTCTCCGGCAAAACTCTAGCCTCGTTGGTCGTCGCCAGGGTCAAGCAAGGGGTGTAGCACACGATTGCTGGTTACGACCCCGCCCCTTGATTGCTGTCTTAATAAGACCCCCCCCCCTGAATTATATATCTAAGATAGCACTACTGAAGGCCCTGTCAAACATAATGGGCAGCATATCCATAATGAGCATGTCAATTAACCCCTGGTAGACAAAGTTTGAGCGAATTCTGGAAATTCAAGATACTAGGCTACTTAAGTGAACCACAGTTTGGAGGTCTTTTGAAGCGGGATTTCTGAGATGGACAAAGGAGTAGTGTTTTGTCTTGAGTGCAAACGGATAGCTATTTCACCTTTGTAACAAAGTTAATTATGTTGGAAAATGACCATTTCACTTGAGTAGCCTAGTATCTTGAATCTTCAGAATTCTCAAACTCAAACTTTGTCTACAGGGGTCACTGACATGCTCATTATGGATATGATACGAATATCATGTTATCACTATTATCAGATCACCCAACTACGACCCCCTCCCCTTTTGACTCCTCAATACGACCCCCCAGATATTGCGTGCCACACCCCACGCTTGACCCTGGTCGTCGCTAGCATATTTTTTCCGACTACTTACCCGGCTAATACTGTTTGTTTATTTATTTGTATTGTACACTCACGTTGCACTATGAAAAAAAGGGAAAAGTGACAAATACAAAACATAAAGCTAGCTCGTCTCAGCTCATGAAGACATATAGGGTACTGATGGTAACTAGCTTCTGTTAACTCTGGAAATGAACAAGGTATCCAGCGAGCTTATGAGTATAGATACGAATGAGCTTATTGCAGTTACAAGGCGCAAGAATCTTCTAATTTTTTGACGAAAATTTTGGGAAGGAATCCTAGAAAAATGCTATCAGAGTAGCGAGGTAATCATGACATATTCTTAAAAACGCTTCCAATCAAGCTAGCTTTTTCACAAAATATAGTAACACATCAAAAGTAATGGTTTTCAATTTCCTCTCAACATGACCGACATAGTTTTTTTTCAAGTATTGTGGCGACTTGTTTTAGGCGGGAGGGTGGCGCCTTTGAGAATTGAGCGGAAGGGTGGCGCTCTTTGCTTCTGTTAATCAGCAGCTGGTTCAATGGTAGCTTTTATTACCGTTCGCTAGGAACGTATGGTCACAAGTGATGAGGAGGCGGCCACGCCTAGAAGGCGTGACCGAAGATTGTCCCGAGGATATGCAGAGGCAGGAATGGTGTTTTTGCCCGCACAATCGACAGTCCGGTAAGTTGCATTGATTGCTGGAATGCGTATTACTGAAGCATTTCCAGCAGAGATTTTTGTTTTTGGCAATTTCTCTGCGCTTGTGTATATCCGACACCGTTCGGCAAGATGCAGACGTGTGGTTTGTGCGGTTGCAAAACGCACAACTGGAAACCTTTTTTGGGAAAGTATCCCGTTCATTTTCCTGCGCGGAACCCCACTGCGATTCAACGAAAAGTTTGGACGAAATCTCTTTCTCCAGGAGACGCAGGAGTTTGGATATTTTGAGGTCTTTGTTTTCCTGATAATTCAAGAGGACATCTTTGACGACGCCGTAAGGGAACTTTTTTACGATTGTCTCAGTTCACATGGGGTCACTCATCGTTCGAATATCATAGCCTGTGGATACTAATTGATTGACAAGGGAGTTAATGTAATCCAAACAATCATCGCAGCTCTTTGCGCTGCGCGTTGCAGGTTTTAGATCGAACAGTTTCTGAATTATTCTTGATCTGTTAGCTGGTTGGTTCTCGAATTTTTCTTTTAGAGTTTTCACCATCCAGTCATAGTTTTTGGCTATCGGTTGTATTCCCTTAATAGCTTTTTCTGCTTTGCCTCTTAGGCTGTTTTTCAAATAGAAAGTTTTTTCAATTTTGCTTATCTCATTGTTTTCGTGGATAAGTGATTCATACATAGCCCAAAATTCTGGAAACTCTTCTTGGTCTCCGCTAAATGTGGGCAGATTTACGTTCGGAGGTCTGACTGACCTTATTCTTGTAGGTTCAGTGTTCGGATTATCCTCCGTTCTTGCTGAATTTGACTCTGCTAGGCTTTGTGCAGAACCCTCTTGCGTTGAGCTCGCAGAACAGCTTTTTTGTCTCCTTTGAGCTTTTGCCAAGTTCATTCTGGCATCTGTGAGCTGTGCCTCTAAAATGTGCGTGAAGGTTTCGGCTTCCGCAAGAAGTTTGAAAACTTGAGTGTCTTTCTCAATTTCCTGGATGTCTAGAAGCATTTCTTTTTGATCTGTTTTCTTAGTATTGTTGAACTGTTCCTCCATCTTATCAACTTTTGCTTGAAGAGTTTCTACTGCCACTGTCACTCGCGTGATGCCTCCTGACAGAAGGGCTATGTTATCGGTTGCTCTGTCAAATAACTCCTTATCATTTTCCGGATATTGGATTTTATCCCTGTATTCTTCGTAAGTCTTAAGAACACTCGCTAGGGCCGTTGAGCTAGATGAGATATGGGTTTTGTGGAAAATTAGAGACATTTTTTCCAGTCTAACAGCGTCAAGAGGCGATAGGTGCGTCTTGGAATGGGCAAAAACTTGCTTTTAGGGCTTACTGAGTCCCTGGGACAGGCTTGATGCTGACCTTGATATCGGTTAAAATTTTAGCCGATGCACCAGAAAATGTGGCGACTTGTTTTAGGCGGGAGGGTGGCGCCTTTGAGAATTGAGCGGAAGGGTGGCGCTTTTTGCTTCTGTTAATCAACAGGTGGTTCAGTGGTAGCTTTTATTACCGTTCGCTAGGAACGTATGGTCACAAGTGATGAGGAGGCGGCCACGCCTAGAAGGCGTGACCGAAGAGAGAGAGAGGGGGGCGGAGGTGGGAGGTTCTGGCATGTGCCAGAACAAGTATTTTGCACTTTTAAGGGACAGAGAGCAGCCATACATAAATTTATCAGTTTCTAGCAAATATCGTAGCACCATATCCTTAGCCGCTCTTTTATTTGAAATTCATTTGTGGGTTGCCGCAGTGCTATGCAGGAATGGTTCGCAGGGAAAATTACATTCCGACATTAGGAGACTGGATATCTACAAATCCATCAGGACTGCCAATTACTACATAGTCGTCAAAAACATTAAGAAGAGGACCGCATGATGTTATCTTATTATAATTGTTCCTATCGATTTGAGTGTAAGTTAGATACCTTATTACTTTTGCATCAAGCATGCTGCTCCAGGCTAATCTTAGGGTTTATCCCCCCCCTATGATTTTAGTGATTCAAACTTCACAGCAGACACCTGCTTATTATGTCAATAAATAGACACCGCATCGCGTAAATGCTTCTAAATTGGTGGTTAGACAAACCCAGCATCGTTGATCGAGCGTCATGATTTGCATATTATTATAATTATGACTAGGATCCTGAGAGTACTGTCATGGAGTAGAGACAAGAAATAAGTCCTAATGTTTTCTATCACTTTACTTTATCGAATAGGCTCTTGTGTTCCAACGAACGAAATCCCATAGTTATTTGTGAAATAACCACAAGAATAGATTATCACGTAGTTCGGGCTAATCTTTGGGAATTAAATGTAACGATACAGCTTGTATGTGACTGCTAAATGACTACAAGTCCAGCAGTGGCGTACCCAGGTCTTCGGCTCGGGGGGGGGGGGGGGCGCGACAAAAATTTTTTTCTAAAGAAGGTGTGTGGCGTTAGCCACGCACTCCGAAAAAATTTTGGGGGTGCTTCCCAAAATTTTTTCGGTCCCAGACCCCTAAAATCTGGAAAAAGGGGGCGTGGCGCCAGCCACGCCCCCGAAAAAAATTTTTTTACAGGGCTAATTTGAACTTTTAAAAATTTTTAAAAATTATTTTAATTATTTACAAAAATAAACAAGTCATTTACACATTTTTATAACCCATATAAGTAACTTTCAAAAATTTCGCGACCCATTCTCGGGGGGGGGGGGGCGCGCCCCCCCTCCCCCCGCCCCCCCCCCTCGGTACGCCACTGAAGTCCAGTACTGAATGAATGTGATCATGGAATGGTACCCATGCCCCTATTATTTGCCAGCAAAACGATTTTGAGATATTTCGACAAGTAGACATTTCGATGGTGGATACACTGTCGCTTAAGCAGTGCACCGGGAGGAGTATAATGACTCTAAGTAAATAGGAAAAAGGGTAATAGTAAACGAATAAGTTGTAGCGAAAGGGAAGAAAAGTTAAACTTCAATGTATGGAGATGGTGCTCATGTCGTCACGTTTTTAAGCAAAAATGCTCTTAAAGTAGAATTAATAGAGGCCAAGTTGGTGGAATGATAATTAACCTGGCCTAAAAAATTCCGAGGAGAGTTAATGCGAGAAAATGATTTATTCGTACATTGCCAACATATCAGAGCCATACAGATGTCGTTCTACAATACCATCGGTGCCGCCTTTAAAACTCCCGAAATAAACGCGATGTCGCGTTGAAAGCGCCGCAACCTCATAACTCCCTTAAAAATGATTTTTAAGCAGAAGGGAGCACATATTCGGAATCAGCGTCCCTCATATCTAAAGCCATAATTTTATTTTCGAAAACTCAAATTTTCCATTCTACGGGTGACGCCACGGTAAACGTCCACGTTCCTAGGGCTTTTCAGCTCATAAGTCGCTGTATAGTCAGTAATCATTGAGATTCGCTGGTACAAATCATTAATTGCATTGGAGAGGTCTTATTTCTTGTTTTTCATGAAGTTTTGGGAATCTAGAATTTTTTTCACTACAAATAAAAAAATTTTCTATCAACGCACAATGTTCAAAGTTTGAAGGTTCGCAATTTTAAAAATTTGTATTCATAGGCGCATCATTTTATACTGTCTACAACTGCACATTCTCTATAGGTTTCAGTGTCATTAATTCGTTTTGAAAGAGATGTTGTATTTACACGCTAGAACTTCACTGGCTAGTTTTCGAATCAACTTTGCTGCTCGACCAAAAATTGTAATTCGGTAAAGTCGTTTTTTTCGCGCTCCGCTGATGATAAATGGAAATACAGCTAGTTCTTCCATAAGTGGGTTTAAAGATTCCATTCTTGGAAGGCCTCAATATGGTTTTCCCTTGAAAATTCTGAAAGCAAGTACTAGCCCATGAATGACCCTGCGATGTGAGAGACTTTTGAGGCCAAGTATTTTCAGACGCTAAAACTAACACTGTGCGCTCTTCTGAGAAAACTCCATTTATACTTAAATATGCATTGTTTTGGTGGTATGAATCACCAGTATCGTTGGAATGGTTACAACGCACTACAAGATAGCGTTCAAATAAAAAAAGCTTTACTCCAAGCTCAGGAAAACTGTCTCCGATATGTCAGAGTCTGAAAAGCTTGCACAGTGACGATTTTTCCGCCTTAATCTCGTCAAATTAATTTGGAAAAAAGTCCGTAACTTTGTTCAGAGAGTCGCACAGCAGATAATGAACATAGATGTGGAATCAGTGTTTTAAGACACATTTACTGGTTTAATCTCACTGCAAAAGGCCACGGTCACCAGGTATCCTTTCCTTGTAAGTAGTGACTGGGGATAAGTAGGACCAGGAAAGCTGCGGTAAAAAAGTAGTCGTGTAAAAACTTTCTAAGCTTCCTCCAGAGGTTGTTTGTGCTTTACCATCTTACATATTTCCTAATACAAATATATGATCTTCGTGCGCTTATCTGAAAGGTAAACCGGCGTGCTATCTTCAAATTGTTTGAAACTCACTGCGCAATGCTGACCATCAGAATGAATTGTGAATAACTACTCAATCCAATTTACTGCAGTAGCGCTAATTCTGAGAGGAGAAACTCCTTGTAACTGCAAATTACAGTCACTTACTGTAATTATCATGGTTTAATAGTTTCCCATAAAAGACTATTGATAGTTCCTATGAAAGACAATCACCATATGACCTATATCTGAGTGTATCTCGTTCTCTGGTTGTTAGAGAGAACCTCGAGGCAAAGATTTACGCAATCCTTCTTTGGTGGCGCAGTTCTCACAAAAATTACTTTCTGATCTTTTTTTTGTTGAATTTTACAGCTTGCGGATTTACTTGGCAAACACATCCGTAACTTTGCAAAAAGTCTAGAAAGATTCAATAAGTCAAATATGTGGATCCGTATGACGTGGAGTTTTCAAAAACCCGCTTATTGGATCACTCACTCACCCATGATCGGCCTACATGCTGGTAGGTGTGCTGCGCAGTATTGTGGCTCAAGACCCTAATTGCAACTTTTACTTTAAATTTCATGAGAAACATATTTTCAGACATACTCAAGAAGGCAGACGGCCTTAGTATGTTATCACAGTAGATTTTCTGAAAAGGAGCTTGTTCTGCTTTCCTGATTTTGTGGAGTGAAACAGAACGGGCCTTTACTTTCATCAACGTTGAGTGCAAAAATTTTTAGACTGATTTCATCACGGGGATAATGTAGCAGCGCCTCAAAAATGGCTTCGAAGCAAAGCACGCAAACCACAAAACGCCTCATAAACCAATTTCAAACAATTTTCCATAGCATGACTAAACTCGTATACTTTCGTGTGTGTTGCATGACAAATGCATCTAGTTTTATGTGATGGCAGAAATGACTTTGCAAATTCAACAAAAAATACTCCAAAGAAGTTTGTGTTCGTCCAGCTGGAGAGCAGTCATGAATAAAAAAAAATTTTGTTTTTGTTTGAACTTGATTCCCTATTTCTCAATGGGAAGCCCATATCTGACTAAATATTTCGCAGACTTTGTGCCATGCGAGATCTTTGCTCTGTCTCCATTGCCACCCGCATTGCAAAGGTGTTTGATCTTCGGAAATGCAACTTCAGACAATTCTTAGAACTGGCTCAAAGGTTGGAGAAAGGCACAGCGCTAAGTGTGTCGTAAATATTTCCTGATGGACCGACTTTGTTCCTAATAAGCTAGGGACGGCCAGGGGACGGATATGATTTATGTGCTGATTTGGTGTGAGCCTAACTCTAAGACTGATAATGGTTTTTCACTGGGTCTTACGTAATTTCGCCTTCGTGAGAGCCTGGAGCAGAGTCAAAAGGAAAAGGGATTTGAAGTACTCTTCAAGGAAATGCAGATGTCGTTAGAAAACTGAACAATAATCACCTTTGATAACAGAGGGCGGAAGTGAGAAGATCAACTATTCAAAACTATGCTTCTTTTATGAGTGCGACGACCAGCCATCTCCCTTATCGTCGAGTCATTCGTAACTTAATATGCGTTGCTTCTGTTTTTGTTGGTTACATGTTAGTCAGTAGAACACATTTCTACACTTTGTTAAGCTCAAAAATGTTTTACTGGAAAGTTACTAGTATGGGTGCCGTCGCTAATAGGGCTTAGTGTGCAGTCTCACACATTCAGTTACAAATGACTCGAGGAAAAAACGATAAGGTACGAATTTCTTTGCAATGGCAATGCATTCCTCCTTCCCATTCATTTTTGAATCTTTAGGCATCAATCCAAGCTTTTGGGCCTTTCCCTCTATTAGCTGAAGGAAAAGCGGCTACAGTATGTTTCGCGCACGACGACCGGTCTCGTGTAAAAGGGCAGTAACAACTCCGCGCTCTTGCACACCTTCCTGTATCTGGCACGACAAGGGGTGATGCATCCACGCATAGACTGGAAGCAGGGCTCGGCACGAGGTGGCTTTCCGAATATGCGAAAAACCAAGTCCCCTCTGACTTTCTCACAATTTGCGAAGTCCCCTTCAACCCAAAATCGGAAATGTCGCCTAAAAAACCTAACCTAACTTTGTTTTTTCAGACGGCAAAAACAATATCCTCTTCGCTTCATTCCAAAAGCGATATGTAGCTTGCTTATAGGCCACCTGTGCCAAACCCTGACTGGACGCTCTTGAATCCGATCAAGATAGTTCCTGCATGGGAGAGACAGCAGACGACAAAAGAGGTGAAAGAGCGCTCGATCAACGAGACTCCGACAGCGTACATAGTGGCGCCCTGTCATTGAGCGCTGGATCGTCTATGCATTCCATCGCGATTCGGGCTATCCGGTCACCAAAATTTTTCCGTCGTTGATTTAGCTCAAACTTCGTCTGTGAGAGTTGTCTCACATGCTGATCACGGAATCACACTCCTGCACGAACACGTCTCCCCATGGCGGTTAGTAGTTCAAAATCATGGATATTGCTAAAAGTCGGCCTAGAGGGGAATTTTGACATGCTTATCACGAATACCATAATACCATAATCTTTTCGCATAGTGAGGCCTTTTTATGGAATTACGGTAGGTACACGGTATGGTGTCAGGATCATGATTTGCCCTAAACTTTGCCTGGGGGTTGTTTGGCATGCTGAGCATGAATATACTGCAAGGTAGCGCAATTTTCTTGTATGACGGTGGGTGCGCGATAGATGGGTGAAGTTCTAAATTTTTTCACATTTTTGTCATAAAAGGTTCCAAGCACGCTGATTACGAATACCATCCTTGATCGCGCAATAACACCTTGTTGTAAAAATACGGTGATTTGCAGCATAAATAAAATTTTTCGTTTTTGAGCTAATAGAGGCTCCAGAATTCACCAAAGGGCTTCATCGATTGAGGAATATTTGTGATTTGCACACCAGATAACCTCCTTCCACTTCTCAGACAGGTCTATGATCTTGACCCCCTACCATATACCTAGCTCCTTGAGAAGGTCCAAAACGCAAGCGGATTATGATACTTGTGAACAGTATGTTAACAGTCCCTCTAGACCGAGTTTCAGTCAAATCTAGAATTTTGACTTCCTATCGTGACCCAGCGTAATCGAAAATGGCGCTACCGCACGGACTAATGTGGGATTCATGTTCATTCATTCATGCTAGTTAACCCTCCTAGACGAAGTTTAGAGCAAATCTGTATTTTGGCCCCCTAACGGTATACCTATTGTAGCCACATAGGATGCGTTTTAGGGCTGAAAAATTTTGATAATTGTGATCAGCATGTAAGATAACTCCCATAGACGAAGTTTGAGCAGAATCCAGACAATAAAATTTTGGGGCCCGCATAGCCGAACATGCCTCCTAACTGTTGAGTTTGCTTGCAAACTGCTTTTCTGAAAATGGTTTTGAGCAACTATCACAACTAAGACTCTGCTTTAGAAATGTCAACCAGTTCAGCTCATTCTCCTTACAATGCGGTTGGACGATTTCTCACAAAGCGTGAAAGACAAGTATTCTGCGAGGGTGCAGGAGCTGTTGGCAGCGCTTCCAGTTGTGAAGGTAATCATGTTCAGTTTGTTATTCCAAGACATTTTTAGTTTTACAATGCATATTGCTGAAATAACAAAATTTACCTCTGAGTTGAATTAAGCAAGGTTTGGAGCGTTATCAATATCGCTCAAATGTCAAACTCTGCCAGACGGGAACTCAATCACTGGCCCTCCTACCTTTCTTGAAAGTCTATTCTGATCGCAAGGATAAGACGTTAACTTTCAGAATGCTGCAAGGAACAAAAAAACGAATATACTATTGGTTTTCTTCCGTGAAGCGCAAATATAAGGCTAGCGCATCCAGCAAGTTATGTCACTTCGGATTTTTTTCATGAGTTCCTGTTTGAAAATGATGAAAAATCCGCGCTTACATTTGCTCGTTCCACCCATCATTTTGAGCGTATAACAATCGTTGGATATGCTTGTGAATGGTTTTTTTTACTGCGTCACATAAGTGTATCATAAAGAAGGCGCGGAAGATCGAGACTTGTAGAAATTAAAGGCTATAGAAAAGCGTTAGCGCAACGAGACAACAACCCCATAAAACAAGCGCACTATATCCAGCTCCTCGTATTTCCCAGGCTTTCTATTTCGATGAGGATTCAAATCCATCCCAGCATACTTCAAAAAGGAGCAAAGGTGTAATCTGGCAACATTCCAAAAGCACACCAATAGCAAAGAGAGGCCAAAGATCATTCATTTTAAAAACAAAACGAAGCAAAAGGGCAGCAAACTTTCCCGTCTGCTACCTCTTCAATTTCCATGAGCTTAGAATCCGGGAGACGAGCAAACAATTTACATTTACGTAGTGAATCAGCAACTCAACTCAAAAATTTTAGCAAGACAAGTTTCAAGGACTGGAATTCAAGAACTTACAACCAAACACAGTAAGTTCGGGAATTTTTTCCTCGGCTATATTTACATTCATACACTGTGTGATATGGCGAATCACGCTGCCACGACAACGAAAGTATCCTGGATGATTTGGATTTTATTGTAATCACGTTTAGCAGACTTTGGTAGACAATTCTGATCCTGATATATACTTCGTTGCATACCTCGATACAAAGAGCCATGTACTCTGGTAACCTTTCGCCATGAGAGAACACAGCCTTCGCTTGAAAAAAAAAATACAAGTCGTTTGCAGCGAAGCCGCGGATGATATGATCATGATTAGCTCGGAATGAATGTGGACGAAGCAACTAAAGGGGATAATGTCTTCAGGATATCCCATCAAAACAGAAAAATGTCTTTTTATAGCCTTTTTGTGCTAGAACGGTGGCCTTGCATAAATTATTAGAAAATATTTAGAACAACATTTCTCACTTAACCTCTTTTTAGACCACATATTAGTTTCAGAAGTTTACAAAAGCTGTTGGAGTTAATGAATAGAGAAACTGCGCTTTGCGCAGGGAGTCGCGCACGGAACTGCTGGTTTATCCCGTTAATGAGTGATTTTCAACGCTTGGGATGTTGTCAGTGCTCCTTGTTGTGCCATGACGATCAGACTTGCGCGCTACGCTACCCTGAACGCGAGGCACGGGGCATTTGGCTCTGGTGCCCTCTTCTCCGTTATTCCAAACCCCATCTGGTAAAATGATTATCATATCAACGCCCTTGATCTCTAATTTCACGCTGACAACCTACCCCATTTTTGGATTTGAGAGAGACATCTAGTAAATACTGTTTTTGAAAATCCCTGTTTCTTCTCTAGTTCAAACTCTTTGACGCGGTTACGACGTGCATCCGATAGACCTTGCTTTCCTGCATAATGTAGACAACCTCCCAGAGCTTCTCTTCAAGTTGCCAGTTTTTTTCCGCGAAAAACGGTAAGAAGTGCGTTTTTTTTACTTTGTTCTTTTTCAGTGCTTTCGCATCGATTTTTTTCAACTTGGGCGCTTATGGCTCAGAATGATGAGCACAACAATCCAGACAACGCGGGAGGGGGGGGGGGGTAAAAATTTGAAGGACGCATCAAAAACTAGACTCTCTGACGTGCATCTCGACCTAGTAAAAAAACTTTGCGTTTATATAATTTATTCTTTTTCTAATTAACTCCTTCTTGACAATTAGGACTATCAAAACATGTTTGTTTTTGGAACAATCAGGAAGAAAAAATTAGCCTGTCCTCCTTTTCCCCCATGTTGTAGATTGCAGGGCCCCGGAGCGAAATCCTGCAAATTGATACGCCGCCAGATGAATCTCAAACTTATTGTGGCTTTTTCCCGTTTTTGAGAATTTCTTTTGATTTTGCTATCTGTTTTGTATGTTTCTTCCTCTTCTCTAATCTTATATATAAAGCTGAATGTCTGTTTGTATGTATGTATGTCTGTCTGTATGTCTGTCTGTGTGTACGTATGTTCCGAATAGAAAATTCCATATCTGAACCGATCGGGACCAAACTTGGCACACATACACTTCGGGCCCCGGCGGGTGTCATAGGCTACTTTTCGTGTCGATCGATATCGATTTTATCGATTTTTTGCAAATTTTGAGCTACGGGGCTGGGGGTTGGCACAGGGGGGTAAGTGAGCATGGGGATTCCGAATATAATATTAGTTTTTAAAATCGTGCATTACTTTTATCGATTTTATCGATTTTCTTGCAAAGTTTGAGCTACGGGGCTGGGATTTGGCACAGGGGGGATCGAGCATGCTGATCACCCCCGTGGGGGTGATCAGCATGCTCGATTACACCCCCCTGTCAGCTCCCAGCCCCTTAGCTCAAATTTTGCAAAAAATCGATAAAATCGACATCGATCGATAACGAAAAGTGGATTGTGACACCCGCCGGGGCCCGAAAGGTATGTGTGCCAAGTTTGGTCCGGATCGGTTAAGAAATGGAATTTTCTATTCGGAACATACGGCGGAGCCGGGTAAGCCAGCTAGTGTTCTATAAATAACCTTCATCATGGGGAGGGGGGGGGGGGAGGGGCAAATAAAAACAACCTTCACTTTTGAGGCCTCATCTCTAGACTATCGAAGGTGTGCTTCGTTGTCTAGGCTTTGGTACTTACTCCCACTGATTGTCTCAAAATTCGCTGTGGTATAGGCAACGTTCACGGCTGCTGTTGGGCGACTTCTAGGCCTTGCAGGCCAGTCGCCAAATTTCAAAAATTGTATCATCGATAAACAGAAATATGAGAGACTACGAGAATGATCGCGGTTATGAGGTAATAAGAAGATTGTACCAGGATGTGTGAGAATCTCACCAATACTGCTACAATCCGTTATTTTGAGAGTAATGCCTCCATCCTGCTCATGCATTTCAATCTTTTGAAGCCCACTGGTGGAACTGATCGTCACAAATAAACTGCAAACGATTACTCATTTGCTTTTCTTTTTGGTATCGGTAACTACATTTATATGTATCCTTGATAGTTGACCGCACGGACCACTCTGTTACGGACCAGGCGCGGCGGGGCTAAATGTTGCGAGAGCGAGACTTGTGCTATAGGTCATTTACAAAATTGTGCCGACGAATTTGACTGCGGTCTTTGCGCCCACACGAGGTCAAAACAATCATAAAACAGAATCACCTCAATGCTTAGCTCACTTCCATTGTCTGTATACTATCAAAAACCATTGGAAGATGAAAACCAAGAAAATGCGGTTACCGGAAGTGCGTGCATGTCGCACGCGGTCGCCCCATCGTCGAGCTTTTTCAAATGTCCTATACAATGGTTTACTGCTGCAAGCGTTTTATCCCACGGCGCGTGCCCCACAGTGATGTTCAGTCCACACGGTCAACGACTCCACAACACAGAATTTTTCTTCCAGGAGAACATATGCAAATTCAGTTTAGTTATTGGGAGCTTCAGATGCTCATTCAGCATGTCAAATATCTTGACTAAGGGGGTCCACCAGAAATTTCACCTTGGACAGACATATACTATGCGGCCCGCCAAGTTGTGCGGCACCGCTGACCTAAGTCATAGAAGGGAAGGATGTTTCCGGATTTCATTCTCCCCCTTTTCCCAGAGCAAAATTCAGCGAGATTTGTAATGTTGGCTATTAGATTCTGTTGAAAGGAATGGCCAGTGAGGACTTTGTAGATGTCTCTCACATTGCTTTGATTTCTATTATCGACTTCCGTCTACCTGAGGCAAATAACTACAAATCTGGAGTGGGTTTAAGATGGTTGCTTCGACCCGTCTATCACGTAAAAACCAACTCCCGAATTCAGATTCTCACTTGTCTTTGAGTTATTTTTCTCTGTGGCTCACATAATGGATGCATAGGCCATGTACAGGGCTTTTCAACATAAGAGTCACAGCCTCCGCTTGGGCGGCTCCTCCAACGCGGCCGCCTCGCTCAGGCCGCGCGCGGCGTTTGCGGCGTATCGCCCGGGCTTTTGCCAAGCTTCAGTCGACGCGCAGCCAGCGCCACGTACGCTGCGCGGACCTAAGCGTGGCGGCCGAGCGGGGCGGCTGTGACACTCAGGTTGTAAGGCCCTGTATACGCGCAATCTTCAATTAAGGATCTATGGATGTGCCATTCCAGTTTATCATTCTTGGTGGCCATTCAAAAAAACCACCAACTTGAGGAGTTCCGAAATAAGAAAAAACAAGTTACTAATCAACATTTTCAGTTCGAAAACGCAAAATTGCCGTTTACTGTTTGTATTCTCTTACCAATCAATAAAGGAGCATATAAAGAGGAAGAAAAGAAAACAGACTGAACAACGGAATGGTGCAATTCTTCTCTATTATCAACAATAAAAGATTCATATTCTAGAATATAGACCGGAGGTTGAAGCAAAAGAAAATTAGGTACAAGATACTATTATTTGGTCAATCAAATTCATTAATAGATCACAAACGCTTTTAGGGCAAGTAATATGCTATACAATATTAGTCTGCAAAATTTTGTTGACTGTCAAAACAAGAAACAATACAGAATAGAACAAGCAGAAACAAGTAAACCCCCTAATCCGCATCCAGCCCTGCCATGCGTAAAATTTGTTCACAGACCTTTTTGTAGAGGAAGGCGTCACCGCACAAACGTTTCCTTCGAATTCCGATCTGAGAGACAGATTGCAAGTATAATTTTCGCTTTGCACAAACAAATTTATTTTCACCTTTCCAATGTTCTCCACCACAACTACTTCCAGTTCCACAGTCAGTGCATGTCCTACCTTGTCCTTCTGCCTTCCAGAGATTTTCCATCTGGAATTATTTCAGATACTAATTGCTTTTTAGCTTAGCAGGGAATTAAACAGACTAAGACAATATACAAGGACAATAAAAGTTCTAAATTTCCTCTACTCATGATGGCTAAGCAGCCAGTCAATGGCGTATATCCCAGGTTTCAAGGATAACTACTTACCCATTCACTTCATACTTGATGCATTGCTGTTCGAACACTTTTATCAGCTCCTGTCTGATGCGTTCTGGATCAACGGAGTTAGTGACAGATACGTTAATTTTTCCCTAAATTCAGTAAATGAATCTCACAAGCTAAGTTGGATGTAAAAACGTTGCCAACCTCCACAGTTTTCAGTATTTGAGGAGAATCAGTTTTGAGTTTTCTAGGTGTCAGGAGATTTATTACACGATCTGCTTTACGCTCCAGTGAAGCAAACACCTAAAGCGAAGTTCATGCAAGATATTTGTAAGTTGGTGAGATCTTCCACTCCTTAGCATCTAGTTTTAAAAAATCATGTGCTAAATTTTCCTGTTCGACTGAAAGCACACAATTCTGCTTGATTTTTCCAGAAACAATCTTTATGATTGCTGCAGCTAGAGTAGACTCTACAGATACTGACCCTCTGCTTCAATCTAGGTGTCTTGGCTGTGGATCTTGCTTGCCGAGTGGAATCACAAGGTGTCTTTCCGCCAGAAAACGCGGGAGACTCAGCAGTAGACCGCTCCGAAGACCGCGCGCTGTGAACCATAATTACAGACGTGAACTTATGCCATTTGTTTTTTATGGACAACATACCGTTGTCGCGAGCCTCTCGGACTGAATAATCCTTTTAGTGCGGGCCTTTGCGGAGTTGTGTATATACTTCTAGGCCTTGTACCACGTTCATCTTGGAAGTATATATATATGACCTTTTTACAAAACGCTCTCGTCACAATAACGAAGAAATCACCTATGATTTTGACTGGTCCACGAACTCGTACGCTGGCTGCTCCTGTGCGATAGTTCTCCTTATCATAGCTTGAATCACAACCAAAGCTACCCTGCATCAGAATGACTACCAACGAGCAAGCTCAAGAGTAGAAATAAAGAACCGGTCATATCTCACCTGCCCACGTGCAGAAGGTTTTTGTGCTGCTCTGTATGGAGTGGAGCTTGTAGGTGTTGGAGAGTTGTAAGACAATTTCTGCTGAGGAGATCTACCAGTGCAAACAGTTGGAGTATCAAATATTGCATTCATATATGAGGTTTTCTGAACAACAAATGATGAATCATAAGCAGGCAGAATCGGTATTGGGTGATTGTACCAACTTCAGCTGCTCTGTTGGTTGTTCTTTGTTGATCTCTCCCACCACCACGTTCTCGCTCATTATGTCGCCACATCGCATCAAAACGCTCACTGATGCTGCTTCCAGATCGAAAACTTTGCGGGGATAGATCAATATCAGGACTATCGTCAAGACCCGAGAGATCAAGATTATGTTCAAGAGAAGCGTGGATTGTTGGAGATGCAGTTACACGTGATTCACCCTGAAAAAAGGCTAAATTACGTATATCTTTCGAAAGGAAACTAGAAAAGTAATGTAGTACACATGTGACTGTTGCGCATGAGTCAAATAGATGATTTATAAGGAAAAATGAATCTGTCTCATTGCTTTACTACACATCTAAAACTAACCGTTTTCGGTCTGGGAGGGGGCAGTGCTATTTTCTTCCTACGTCCTTTCTGCTGCAGTAGCAGATAGTAAGTCGCCGTGAGGTAGTCAAACTTCCATTCCTAAATCATAATTTACTCCCCTCAAACCGAACCGAAAGACTTCAGAACACTGCATGCCGTCTGCGTGACAAGATGGAACTTGTGCTTCAAACTATTTAGATGCTTTGTTACTTGACTAGTGAGTTGAAAAGATCAAAATGAGCTTGTTAGATATCCGTGCGGTCTCAAGACTCCGAAAGGACCCATCAGACTCGCCGAGAGCGCTCAAAAGCCCCCATAAACAATAAACAATCAGCGCTGAAACGCCTCTTTCAAGTGCAACGCAACGCGTTAGGGCTAATCACATATCTACTTCAACACCAAAACTGACTATCAAAAAGGCGTTGTCGGATATTGCACACGCGAACGGGGCGTTTTAGCGTTTTCTGGCACCTTAAGACGAAGTCTGACGTTCAGCTGCAGTGCTACTTTGTAGAGTACGAATAAAGCAAACGGTTAAAGAGAAACAATGACACCCTAAACAACCTTGATCAGATCGGTCATCTCTGCGAGAGATTTTCTGTGATGAAAGGCTAATTCGGTGGCAACTTCTTCGTCAACTACGTTCCTCTAAAAAAAAAGAGACACATTTAGCATGTCAAGGTATATCATTTGTTTACATCATAAATGCTAGTCCACTTTAGCTTTTGACTGTACTTGTGGTTGATCCATGGATGGTCAAGTAGCTGTTTGACGGTAATACGATAACGAGGGTTGACCTAAAGCCATAGAAGCACAGTAGTGGCCGTATTCACCAAAGAATCCAGTGGGTTGGCTTAACCCACGACATCGGTATTCACGAATTTAGTGGGTTCGCGAAATCAGCAGTGCTTTTTGTGAATATCGTCCAATCCAGTGGCACTGTTTCCGCTTACTGGGTAGCGGAACCCACTGGTTCGTTGATGAATACCGCCGCAGGAAGTCAATAGAGAGTTTTGGTTACCTGCAACATACTTCGAAGTAACGTGCGACTGCTAGGACTGAGCCACTCTGGCTCGTGGTATTGTCCTCTCTAAAAAGATGAAGATAAAGAGTTCGCAGATACATGGGGACTGATGACGTGGGTGAAGATAGTCAAGTGACAACGCGAAGATGTTGGTCATACCGCAAATCTAATCGTTGCATTTTCCAGCTCATCAGTGGACTAATAATTCTAGATAATACTTATTCATTCCCAACTTACGGAAATCTTCCGGTATAGAACTTGCATTGACTCGTCTTCGAAAGGTAGAGTTCCACATAGAAGAGCATAAAGTAGCACACCCATAGACCAAATATCAGCTTCATTGCCGAGATACTCCTTTCCCTACAAAACACATACTTCAGCCACAAACTACAGAAAGTAATCTCGTAAAGCTAGCATGCTATAAGTATTGAGAAATTGCAAAGTGGAGCAATACATGTAGAGGAACTCCACCTTCTCAAATTCATAACTCTGGATACACAGAATATCTACAAAAATGATAAGAAAAAATGTTGTGTGAATGATACTAATCGTAAGATGAATCTTCATTTTTGGACAAAGTGCAAGATATGGTGCGTGACAGAGTTTCTCAAATGATTGGACGGAGCGAAAAAACATCGAACAAATTCAACTTTTTTCGAGGGATAGTAACTCAGCAAATTGGAAGATAATCCTTACAGCTATCAACTCGGGAGCGGCATAGGCAGGCGAGCCACAGCATGTATCCAGAGGTCGACAAAGCGAAGATGGCTTAGCACATAAACCAAAGTCTATGACCTTTAGGTGGAGGTCCTCCGTCAAAAGTAAGTTCTCCTAAAGTAAACTGTACAAATAAACACTCAAAATATAGTGAGACATACAGGCTTCAGGTCCCTATGTGCATAACCCATGGAGTGGACATAAGCCATAGCTTGGACTAGTTGACGGAAAAAGTGACGAGCTTCTGATTCTTCAAGTCGCTCCTTCCTTACAATATAATCGAACATTTCACCTCCACTACAGTACTGAAACCGCGAATGGAGAAGTCGGTTTAAAAATAAAATCGAGCCTACAAAACTATAACTAGAGAAAGAGAAACAAACCTCCATTATGATATAGTATTTATCTTCCGTCTCAATAAACTGATATAGCCGACAAATATTCTGATGTGACAAAGTCCTAAGTGCGTCAAGTTCTGTTGCAACCCGTGGAAGATCATCCTGTATGTATAAAGCCAATTTTGAAAGAAAAGAGAACATGTGAGACTTACTCCTATAGCCTTCTTGTCGATGATTTTTATGGCAACTTTGAGGCCGGTCAACAAATGAGTAGCTAGTTTGACTTTGCCAAAGCCTAAACGTTTGCGCATTCAAATAAGATAACAAGGAAGTTATTAGAAATGATAAAGCAATAAAATCACACTATTTGCTTATTCACCGCTAACGGAAGATGAATTGTTTACTATGTACTTTTATCTGCAACCACAAGTTGGATCCAACAACTGTAAACATTGCTTCAATTTCAAAAGTGAGGATTAATGCAGCGACGACTAATGTACCGCTACCAAGAACCTTCAGAGATCGCACGACGTACTCCCTCTCGGATAAAACTGAGCAGGAAAACGAAAAGATCGAGGTAGTGTATATGTGATGCCATAATCAGGAACCTTTCTGATATGCCAGGATGTAGCTTACTGACAGCACCAAGGATACACTACCTTCACTGCAAAAAAATCGATTTTCCTAAAATGTGTAAGACGCTTGCATTAATTTTACGGTTTGAGGAAGCAAACAGCAAGCATACAGAAATTGGTCAGCTGGAACAGCACCTCCGTTCTGAACATGTAAGACAAAAAGTAAATGAAGTACTCACCACCGGAACCAAGCTCATCATGTACGGAATAGAGCCCTTCTAATGCCGGGTAGGACATATATGTTCCACAGTTACAGACGTAATGGTGCCTGTAAACAATCCGGATCCGACGAGATAAATTGTGGTGAATTTCTCGAAAATCAACTTTGTTTCATGTATAAACAAATGAAAATACACATGAGTTATGCAAACTACGAAGTGTGCTCTCAACTACTCAAATTCGTAGAATTCGCGCTCAAACGAAAGCGATTAGAGCACGATAATGAAGCGCCAGGAAGGACATAGTGGTTCCTGAAAGCGATCAAAAGCGTCACAGCGCCCTTCTCGCAAAGCAGCTTTTAACCCTTAGGCCGCGTTCAAACTGATCTCGAAGTTCGAGAACAGTTCCAACACAATGCTCAGTTCGAGCGTTGTGCTGGAACTGTTTCCGAACTCTGGGATCAGCATGAACGCAGCCTTAAGGCTGGGTTCATACTGATTCTCATTTCCGGAACTGTTCCCGCACAGTTCCCGCACAGTGCTGGAACTGTTCCGGAACTGTGTCGAATGCACTGCAACCGCCCCGCACGCGTTTTGAACGGCGGGAGTTGGAGAATTTTGACCTTTGCCAGCGGTTTTTCTCTCAGTTTCCTCTCATTTTGGCCTTATTCCTCTACCCCGCTTCCCTTTTTGATTAGCACTTCGTACTCGAAACGGGGTTGAAGAATGAGTGCTTTTCTGCTCTGCGTATCCGACAAAATGTCTGTTCTTGCGCTTGTCCATTCTCGCTTCGTTTTCTTTTTGCTCAGTTATATTCCATTTGTTTCAGGAGTTTCCGCTACGTATTCCACAGGCATCTGTCTCACATTAGGGCAGGCGAACAATTCAAAAATGCGGAAATTGGAACTTCGCTCTTGTTTTCTGATAAATTTCGTTTTTTGGGCATTCTCAGCCCCTTTCTTTTTTCCATGTCGTTGCGTCTCCGTTCTCTCTTCTACTCCGCTTCTCCTAGTGATGAGAAAGCCGCGAAACTTGAAGCAGAGTTGAAGAGAGGACGCTGTTTTCTTTTATGTGCATGTTCCGGATAAGTAGAGAAGAACAACGTTCATTCCTCAACCCCGCTTCAAGTTCACAGCTATTCTCATCACAAGGAGAAGCGGGGTAGAGGAATAAGGTCAAAATGAGACAAATTTGGAAGAAAAACCGTTGAAAACGGTCAAAATTTTTTAACACCCGCCGTCTAAAACGCGTGCGGGGCGGTTGCAGCGCATGCAGCACAGTTCCGGAACAGTTCCAGCACTATGCGAGAACTGTGCGAGAACAGTTCCGGAACATGGGAATCAGTATGAACCCAGCCTAAAGGCACCGTCCACCAAATTCTCGACTTTCATGTTTTTGTCGCTACTGGGCCTTCTGAAGGCACTGATTTCGAATATGAAGTTGAGAATCCCCGAAATCCCCAAAAACCTTTATTTTGGAGAACAAGCGGGCGGGTGGAAGTGCAGGTCGCAGGGCTGCGGCGTGTTATACGCCCGGCGTATATCAGTGCCGCAGCCCGCCAAACCTGCAAAATGGGCGGAGTGACCAGCTCTGGATTACGTACCTTCCAAAGCGGATTTCTCGCTCCGGAAGCAACCTTTTGCGGAGAAACTAGGGGGTTGGCCTAGTGTGGGGGCCCACATTAGTACGCCATCGAATCTCGTGAACCCCCACTTTGGGTGGACAGTGCCTCTAAGCGTACAGGAAAATTACTCAATATGTACTAGAACGGCTCCATTCATCACAAAATATTTCCATCCAATGTCGGCTTAAAGGCAGCGTCCCACCAGATTGGGGGTACCTGGTACTGGTATTAATGTAATAGTAGACCCCCTACTAAGCGACGACGAAGTTTGCAGCGCGAAAGGGTGGTCTACGAAGACTACAAATCGCCCCCAAGTGGCCCGAATCTTACGGTAGGTCCGAACGCTGCCCACAAATCGATTTCGAACTGCAAGGCCTAGCACGCATAGCGCACACAGTCATGAGTGCAGGGTCTCACAACGACTCTGCGCTCTACCTTGCATGCATCTCGTACTTGCCTTAACTTCCCGTAAGATGCGGGCCACTTGGGGGCGATTTGTAGACTTCGTAGACCCCCTTTCGCGATGCAAACTTCTGTCGTCGCTTACTAGGGGGTCTACTATTATATTACTACCAGAGCCAGGTACCACCCAGTCTGGTGGGACACTGCCTTTAAGTCTCACGCCATGCGTTGCCGGCAGCTGTTTTCAGTGCCGAGGTTGCTGAGGTTTCGCGCTGCCGGTCGTGGTAGCACCAGAGTAGTTTCTGTGTTATGCGCTCTTTAAGGTTGGATTCATACTGACTTCCAAGTTCTTGTTGCCGGACTGTGCTGGAACTGTGCTGCATGCGCTGCAACTCCCCGCACGCGTTGTGAACGGCGGGAGTTGGAGTTTGACCGCTTTGGTTCTTCTTTAGATTTCTCTCATTTTGCTCTTACTCCTCTATCCCGCTTCCTTTTTTGCTCAGCAGAACTTCGAACTCGACGCGCTTGAAGAATGAGCTTTTCTGCTACGCGTTTGCGACAAAACGCGTGTTATTGTGCTCGTCCATTTTCTCTTCGACCTATTTCATTTGTTCCAGGCCGTTGCGTAGTTTCCATAAATCTGCCACAAATCGGGGAGTTCGAGCAATTCTGAAATTGCATAAATTGGGACTTTTTCCTTGTTTTATGGTGAGTTTCGTTTGTGGGCATTCCCAGCCCCTTTCCTTTGTCCATATTGTTGCTTCTCCATTCTTTCTTCTACCTCACTTCTCCTTGTGATGAGAAAAGCCGTGAACTTGAAGCGGGGTTGAGGTTTGAACGCTGTTCTGCTCCATGTATCCGGGAAGATGGGCCTTCGTGCGCTCGTCCATTCCATCTTCTCTTCCATTTTTGTTCAGGCCTACTTCATATGTTCTAGGAAGGCGCGCGTAGTCTCGCATCTATATTGAAAGGGACATAGACAGGTCTCTAGAACACATGATGTATGCCTGAACACAATGGAAGAGAAAATGGACGAGCGCACGAAGGCCCATCTTCCCGGATGCATGAAGCAGAACAGCGTTCAATCCTTAATCCCGCTTCAGGTTCGCAGATTTTCTCATCATAAGGAGAAGAAAGAATGGAGAAGCAACGATATGGAATAAGGAAAGGGGCTGAGAATGCTCCAACAAAATTCATTAGAAAACAAGAAAAAAGTCCCAGTCTATGCAATTTCAGAACTGCTCGCACTCCCTAATCCGTGGCGATGGCTATGGAAACTACGCAGCGGCTTCCTGGAACAAATGGAATAGGGAGTAGAAATAAAGCGAAGAGGAAAGGATGAGCACAAGAACACACGTTTTGCGGCATACGCAGGGCAGAAAAGGGCTCATTCTTCAGCCCCGCTTCGAGTTCGAAGTTTTGCTGAGCAAAAAGAGAAGCGGGGTAGAGGAATAAGGTCAAAATGAGAGAAATCTGGAGAGACCAAAACGGTCAAACTCCAACTCCCGCCGTTGAAAACACGTGCAGGGCGGCTGCAGCGCATGCAGCACAATCCCGGAACAGTTCCAGCACAGCGCGGGAACTGTGCGGGAACAGTTCCGAAACATGGAATCAGTACGAATGCAGCCTTAGGCTGGGTTCGTACTGGTCCGTAAGTTCCGGAACAGTTCCAGAATAGCGCAAAGTTCGAGCTATGTGCTGGAACGTTCCGAAACGGGTAGGGGATTATATGTAACCGAAAGGCTCACCCTTTGCGCTCGTACAACTCCGCAATGTCTGCAACATGCTTGTCTGCGTGGTCGTCGCAGATGTCCGCGTGGACCATCCCTTTTCGCGACATATAGTCCTCTTCCCTTCCGGAACTCACAGGTCAGTGTGAACCTAAGCGACAACGCCAGCAACCTCGGCAACACCGCAACCTCGGCAACCGTAACAGCTACAGAAACCATTATCCGTCGGAATCCGGCGCTAACATTAGCTACATTACCTAGCAAGCGCAGCTAGAAAAGGCAACCAGGCCAGCTCTTACCTTTCCTTTGGCGTTCGATCTTGCTTATCACATCATAATGTCCCCTGCAGATACATTGTGATATTGTGCGCAGAGTACCTTTCGTTGTGGCACAATGCTGAAAGTCACTTCGTCTTTGATACCCTCTTATACCCTATGTCTAGCTAGGATACAAGTTTGCTGGATATCTATTTTATATATAAAGCTGAATGTGTGTTTGTATGTCTGTCTGTACTTATGTGAGGAATATAAATTTTTATTTCTGAACCGATTTGGACCAAACTCGTCACACACACTTCGGGACAGAGAGCGCGTCATAGGCTACTTTTCGTTATGATCGATATCGATTTTATCGATTTTTGCAAAATTTGAGCTACGGGGCTGGGAGTTGGCACAGGGGCTAATCGAGCATGCTGATTACAAATATGTTATTGACAGGGCCGGGCGGAGCCGGGTTTGCCAACTAGTGCTCATATAATACTAGATGGCGCCCCCGGTCCCGCCCGGGAATTGGGCAACTTAATCCCAAACGTTGAAACTTACTGCCCTTCTCCATATTGCCACGAAATGGTGAGACCGGATCCTTGTGGCCGAAAAATGTAAATGAACTTCACCGCCCAACTTACATAACTATAGGGAAATGATTCAACAATGGTTGGTGAACTCTCGATGTAAGTAAACAAATCAATAAATCAATGGAGGGGCCCAGAGAATCGTTGCAAAAAGTAGCCTATCTTCTGCGCCTGGCCTCATTTACAGGGGAGCAAATTTCAGCCTCTTCGGTTAACAAACAGAGGGGTCTATAAGCCACATATTTACATACGAACAAATTTACAGAGATTGAGTTTTATTCATATATAGATTTGGCTTAGTTCCCTTTTGTATCTTCGCCTAAAAAATATAGAAAGAGTAATAGAATTCAAGCCAAATTCAGCATACATAATGTATAGGATGGTGCATGTATTAATAAGCCATTTTGTTCGGGCACACGGATTGCCTCTATCGATTTATCGACTTTTTGCAACTTCTGTTTAGGAAATTTTTATGTTCGCCCAAAAAGGACAGAAGGAGTAATGGAATCTAAGTTTTGCATACTCAATGTATAGGGTGGTGTATGTGTTAATAAGCCATTTTGTGCGGGATACACGGGTTGGATACAGGGTCAAGCGTGCTGATGCGATCTGGGACCCTCATTTACGACCCCCCCCCCCCCCTTGCCCCGCCGCCCCTCCCCCTTCTTCCACTTACTTTGAGGTAACCTGCATAAACGAATGTCAATCTCAAAAAATGCCTGCCAATGGACCTCAGTCAAAATTATAGGTCAGAAAGATAACTACTTACAAATTGGAAGATAATGCAAGTAATGCTTCACCACTCAAAAAACAAATTTTTATAGATTGGGTAAGTAGTAAAATTTTACAAATTAGCTATGCTTATTGTGGGAAAATATGAATGGAAAGGACATCCTGAACCTGTCAGGAAAACCTGACAAAGCAGAACATCGATTTTGATTTGAATGGTCTTAAATTCTACTCTACCTATGAAATAACAACCAAGAAAAAATCAGAATTACGGAACACTTTAGTCATTATATTTGACTATTTTATGATAACTTCTTTTCTAGTAAAGGTTAATAAACTTTTCTGCTGTCTATGAATGTTCGGCATAACCCTTTCATGGTAGAATAGTACCGGAAGATATAGACTATGGTTTTGAAAATTAGAACGTTCTAGACTTGAATGACAGTTCCGTATTCTATCCCCGTACGTGACAATATTTTTTTGCAGGGAGAAAAAACGATATTTTTAAAGCGTAAAAGTTGTTTTCGAATAAAAAGCTTAATTTCTATCTATTACACAGATTTTTTTGCGAAAAAAGAAACCGTTTTAGCGCCTTCCAGAACGATGCCAAAAACTTGCATGAGCACTTTGAAAATTGTAACTAAGGTCAGGAAAAGACTGAGAGGTTGTAATGCATAGGCTGTGTAGTATTCTGCCAATACTATCGGTGAAAAAAGTTTCAGCCATTGAGGTGCAGTGAGCTCGAAAAAATCTAGATGCGACTCTCGCAAGTTTAGATGCGATCCTAAAAGGCAAAAACTGGGATTTTTGAGCTTGAAATTTTGTAACCCACCGGAGAAGTTATGAAACAGCCTAAAGTTTTTATGATAGAAAGTAGGAGGATGGCCTCGTGATGCAGCAAAATTGCAGCGAGCAGGCCTCCATAGCGGCGAAAAAATTTAGATTCGACCCAGATACGACCCCCTTTTTTCATTTTTTGTTGCCATATATAAAATTTTCAAAAAATCCACAGGCTACGAAATATAATCAGATTTTGCACATTTGTAGCAGAGCCTCTCCAAAGTACAGGTAAATTGTATGGGCCCTTGAAAGACACAAAAAAGTTTTAAAAATTAGCGATGGTCATCGCTGGTAGAGATGAGAGCTTTGGTCGAGAGTGTGAGACTTCAGTGATGCTTCGGAACCAGGATTTCTAGGCCAATTGGCACATTCAACATTCTTGCCACTCATACATGCCTAGTGTTTGAGTTTCTGAAAGTGTCTTCGGAATCTTCGGTCATAGTTGTAGCCAGCAAATTCGGTCCCCGTCTGCGACACCTTTTTTGCAGGGGGAAAATGCTGTCATTGAAGAGTAGAAAATGTTTGCGATTAAGAAGCTCATTTTCTACATCCCACACTTTTTTGATTCGGACCACCCTCTCTTACGACCCCCCCCCCCCTCACCTCGCCGGTGCCTCCCTTACCCCCCGTTGCGACAGTCGCATCGCACGCTTGACCCTGGTTGAATATCCGGTATCTGGACGGCATTACAAATGCCGGATTTCGATGAGAGCGTGATATCTACTGCCACAGCAGCGCCTGTACCCTAACGAAGCTGTATTTCCCCTTTGTTATTTTAGTCGACATAATCGTCGCATTGTTTCTATTCTATTCCAGTTCTCTTCATCCTTGCAGTATCATGTTGCTGCCATTAGAAGCTTTTTTGTAGATCTTACCTGATTTCTTCGGCATCTCCAGTATCCGGGCCCCAAAATTTCAAAGCCGTGATTCTTACTACAACTCGGTCTGTGGGGGTTACTCGACATGCTGGCCATGAATATCACATTCTATTGGCACAAAAATGTCATTCGGTGGGGCTAGATATGTATAGGTAGGGCGATCAAACGGCACTATTCGGCTATCTGGGCCCCAAAAATTTTTCGTCATGGAGTTTGCTAAAACTTGGCCCAGTAGGGTTATTCAGCCCGCTGATCACAGATATCGTACTGGTTTAGTACGGTAGCGTTATTTTCTGCGGTTACGGTGGGTATACGGTAGGGGGTTAAAATCGCGATTTGCCTGAAACTTGGCAAAAGGGAGTAATTTGACATGCTGATCACAGATATCTCGTTTTACCTCACGAAGACGTTTTCCTGTGTGGATAGGTAGGTATACGGTAGGACGTACGGTACGCGCCAAATCTTCTTCGGGTGTAGGCCCTTCTGAACCCGCTCTAATTGCGATGGCTACGATAGGTCAGCGCGTCTCAGAGGTCACGTCTTAATTGGGTGCTTGGATAGGGCGAGCGGTTGACCTAAGAGGTGCGGAAACGGACGAGTTCCTCATGATGACCTCCCTCCCTCAGACCCTTGACAGAGATGTCGTAGACGCATGATGTAAACCGAATGCTGCTATTCTGTTGTCTTCTTATATATAAAGCTGAATGTCTGTTTGTCTGTATGTATGTATGTATGTCTGTCTGTCTGTGTGTACGTATGTTCCGAATAGAAAATTCCATTTCTGAACCGATCGGGACCAAACTTGGCACACATACACTTCGGGCCCCGGCGGGTGTCATAGGCTATTCGTCATCGATCGATATCGATTTTTTGCAAAATTTGAGCTACGGGGCTGGGAGTTGGCACAGGGGGGTAATCGAGCATGCTGATCACCCCCGTGGGGGTGATCAGCATGCTCGATTACACCCCCTGCCAAATTCCAGCCCCCTAGCTCAAATTTTGCAAAAAATCGATAAAATCGGCATCGATCGATAAAGAAAAGTGGACTGTGACACCCGCCGGGGCCTGAAGTATATGTATGCCAAGTTTGGTCCGGATCGGTTAAGAAATGGAATTTTCTATTCGGAACATACGGCGAAGCCGGGTAAGCCAGCTAGTACCTAATAAACTCCCTGCTATCCACTAAATTGACGTGCTTTAATCACGGAAAAACTGTGGGATGTGTTTGCTTCGACTACTGAAGTGCTCTATTTTTGTATGAGTAAGGTGAGTGCTGGTAACTCTTTTCACTCCATGTGTGCAATCCTTGCTGCATCGTGTATCGTCACATTCATTTGTGTATGTGAACTAAACGAAGCTTGCAGGGAAAACACACTTTTTGGTTTGATTATTGCTAAAAACCCGAGACCCGAGATTCTTGTTAGTCAGTTTGTCGCCAACAGTTTGATTCTGCGCCGATTACAGCGGCTGCAATTATATTCATGTAAAACATACAAATACTTATCAGTTTTGAACCTATTCTAAGCATAGGAAAATATCGGATATCACTGTTTCGTGAGCTTTAGAGAGCTGAGAAGTTCTAGAAAAAGCTCAGGAATTTGATCTGCAAGCGGTGGCTTATGAACATTCAAAATTCCATGTGCAACCCCAAAAGTTAGCGAGAAATGAGCAGCGTTTGCGCAAAACACTAGATGCTACCAAGATGCCTTGATATTGAGCGAAAGTCATTCAAGGCAAACTATGAACTATTAGGTATCGTGCAGAGTTTATAAAAAACCATCCTTGTGCTTTGAATTGT